CTTGTCTGATTTGTTCCTAGCTTGTATTTAGGGCATTAGGACCATCTGATTTCCTTGAAAATTCTGTAGGTGAATGTTTTTTAAGTCGAGGGGTAACATAAAGTGCAGTGACCTTAGGTGCGTCAGTGGCTTTGTGCTTACGATTGCATTTGTGTGTAACTTAGGGCAAGATAGAAGACATTTCTAGTTGCTCATTCTCAGTCTCTAACCCCTCCTCCTTTCTAAAGGTGCCTTTTAAAAAAATTGTGGTGAAATACATATAAAAATAATGGATTACCTATTTTTAAGCATGGAGTTCAGTGGCATTAGGTACTTTCTTTAAAGGTACTCTTTACATTTGAATGGTATTGGTAATACTTTCTTGGCCAAGGCCCAATGACTGGATGACATAGAAACAACTAGAAGAGAAAGTGAAAGTTCCCCCAGCCTCACTGTCTTCAGAAGGGACCACTGTTCAGAGCATGTGTCACCTTCCAGATCTTGCTGTGTGCACTACCTACCATGCACAGATCTCTCCACACCGGAAAACACGATACAGATGGACATGTTTGAATTGATAATTTTGGTTTTTTAATTGTAAATGGAATCCTGGATGGGCTGCTGGATTGCAGCTTGCTTTTTCATGTGCCGTCTGCATGTGGCCTTTCTAGGGGGCTGTCCCCGGCCTGACGGAGGGCGTTCTGTTTGACACCTGGGGCATTGGTGGTGCTGCTGCTTCTCCTGGGTCCAGCGCCTGGGCCTTAGGTGTTTGTGTCCTCCTTCTTGACCCCTGGCTCAGACCCCTCTCCCTGTCCATGCAGAGTCGGCTCTCAAATTCTGCAGCCCCGAAAGGCCTTTTAGTTACTGCGGACCCCTGGGGAGTCAGCTTCTGGAGTATTTACCTTTTATTTTGGGGGGCTCGATCCCAGGACCCTGGGATCATGACCCGAGCCGAAGGCAGACGCTAATGACTGAGCCAGCCACCAGGCGCCCCTGGAGTATTTTCCTTTTAAACAAGGATGGAAGCCTTAGGGTGGAGGGGTGGAGACTAGATAAGGTGTTGTTAACCAGCAGGCAGAAGCAGACACTTTAGGGAGCGGTTTGGCCCTTGGGCCACCCCTAAAATCACACTCCTGGCCTGCTGCTGGCTCTGACCCCAGAAGCCAGCCTAAATGGCCAGCCCCAGAGTCCAGGGCCGCTCCGCCTACATCCCCTGGTTGGGTAACTGGCAGAATCTCTCCTTGCAGCAAGGAGGGCCCCGTATCTCCACGCTCCTCTTACAGCTCAAGCTCCAGGTCCCTGGGAGATGAGTCCTTGGCAAAACCCGAACTTGCAGCATTTGGGAACCATAGACCTGATTTGTGGAATACTTTAGTCTGGGACATGAATGGTGGGCTCACTTCATGAGAAGGTAAACCCAAAGGCCTCCTGATTTTTGACTCTGGAGTGAGCTTTTCCCCTTTTGGTTAGTTTCACCGCGCTTGCTCTTGCCCTGTGCTGAAGTTAATCTCCCAAGGCTGTCGGGCTCCTGTTTTCTTCCGTCCCTCACTTTGCTTCTTTGTTGTTCTCTGTATGGGTACAGGCAGCCATGAATTCACTCAGCAGCAGCCCACTGAGGCCCTGCCCTGCGTTTTGTGTTGAGAGCATTGGAGGGGGCGGGTGTAAGGTGGATGGGACCTTCTCTTGGGGGCTTTCCATCTGGAACACCTGGGATTGTCCACTGTCACACACAGATTCCTGGGAGGCCGGCAGCCAGGAGGCTCTTGACGGGAGCAGCAGGAGCAATCATGAATCTCTGTCCACGTATCCCAGCCAGGCCCTGTCAGCTTCTCCATGGTAACTGCGGGGTATTGATACTATTAGCCTTAAGAAAAGCACAACCAGGCTTTTGAATATAAAAGAGGAAAAAAAAAGGAAAAATAAAGTCCAAAATTCTAATGCTAAATGATTCCTGGTGATTTTTTTTTAAAAAGTTAACGTGTGTACAGGATTAGACATTTCAAACCAAACAGGAAGGTCTAGAAATGAAAAAATGCAAGCATGCTTGTGTGCATGTGCACACACAGAACCACCTGCCTTCTTTATCCCCCAGAGATGAAATCCTGAGATATTCGTAGGCCACTTTCCAGGAAAAGCAGTTCATAGCATCACATGTGGCCTTTGAAAAGCTTTACCTGCAGGGGCCCCTACTGAGCTCCCCGCTCTTGCTTTTCCACCCAGGTACCCGTTCTGAATCCGCGCATGTAGGTACAAAAAGACCTGGGTCTCTTTAACATGTATGTGGATTCCCATTCTGTGGACAGACCGTAATTACCTAACCACTCCCGTCTTGATGGACATTTAGGTTATTTCCAGCTGTTCACTGGGTAGGTTGCATTTTAAAGGTTTGAAATTTCCCCAGTAAACATGTCCTCCCAACACCTGACCGTCGAGAAAAGCAGATCCCTTTGGAAAGTTTTTAAATTTATTTTCACAGTTGATTCTTATCTTTTTTTTTTTTTTTTTTTTAAGGTGGCAGGGAGAGGAAGGTGACTCTCCTATGTTGGATGCTTAATGAAAGTACTTTTACATCCGTGCTTACGTGTAGTTCTAGGAGGCCGGAATTATCTGCCCTGTGTTTTAGACAAGGACTCTGATGCTCAGAGAGGACCCATAGTTCATGGCAGGGTTCAGCTGGGGATCGGACTGCTCTGAGCAGCCCTGGGCCTCACACATTGTTTCGCTTCCCTTTGTCCTGCCACTTCTGTACATCCGAGTTCATAAAGAGCTAGGGGAGAGGTTTCTACACCCATCCACGTGAATTTTTGCTTAGACCTTCTAACCGGGTGATGTTTTGCTCTGCATTTAGTCTTGGTTTTCTGTTTCGGAAAGCTTTAATTGCATATGGCATACTCTAAGATTCACTGGGAGTATGTGGTGATCAGAGGAAGCAGTGACTTTATCTTGGGACCCTAATTTCCTGGGTTCGAGTCCTTCAGCAGAAGATGAGGGGGCTGTCCAGGGCTGTGTTCTATCACACAGCATCCTAAGTGGGCTCTGATGGATGCTGTCTCAAGTGGTGCATGCTCGGGGGGCTCCCATCTCTGGGCTCCCTGTCGTTGGCGTCTGTAATGCGCTATCTGGGTTTCCTGGGCAGTAGAATCCTATCTCAATTTATCTGTCATTTTTGTGGATGAATAATCCAAAATGAGTAAATGAAAATTAATGTGTGGATTTGGATGCTAATTTAGCTTCCAATTAGGTTTTGTTTTGAGCGTTATTGAAATTAATCTGTGCTCCTTGGGCACATTCCACTTATTGGCAAGGTACGGTGGCCCCCAGAGTACAGTTGGTGGTTGGTTGGGGGTAAATTCAGAAGATGGATAAACCATATCAAGATAATGGAAACGTTTTCTTTAAAACTTTTTTCTTTTTTAATGACAAAATGATGTCTGGACATCATCCAGGTCCTGAAAAGAGAAGAATAATTCAGTCAGAATCCTGCCCCAAACAGACCAGTTTTCTTTTGTTTGTTTTTTTTTTCCTTGCTAGACCCGGTCCATTTGCATGTAAACACTTTTTAAAGGGTACTGAGCCTGGAACTGAGTTTGAGCTCCTGATGAAGCACCCTTATTTCAGGAGGACCTTGAGCTTTGGGATTGGGCAGGCTTCAGCTCCAAGTCTGACTCTTGGCTCAGGAGCTGTGTGACATCAGGCACGTCACTTTGTCCTTCGGAGCCTCTGTTTTCTTATCTATGAAATGGGAGTGGCAATCTGTCTACCTCTTGTTTATTACCTGGACTGAGATAAAACTGTGTGTTTCCCACAGGATGGGGCATGAGCCACTCACAGCACACAGGCCTCTTTCATTTCTCTTAGAAAGCCTCCTGACTTCTCGGGGAAGAGCTTCTTTGTTTGGGGCCAGCTTCCTTTGGGGATGAGCTTTAACTTCCTGCTGGTACTTGCCAAGCCCCCTTTCTAAAGAGCCAGCATCTGGCTACATCCAGTACACCTTGCTTTTTCTTTTCTGTTACTTTTACAACAGCGGGATACACTGGTTTTTCATGCCCTGTAGCAGTATACAGCTTCTTTTAAAGTAAATATATTTAAAGTAGAAGTTAGGGGTGCCTGGGTAGCTCAGTCAATTAAGGGGCTGCCTTTGGCTCAGGTCATGGTTTTGGGGTCCTGGGATCGAGCCCTGCTTTGGGCTCCCTGCTCAGTGGGGAGCCTGCTTCTCCCTCTCCCTCTGCCCCACCCCCTGCTTGTGTGCTCACTCGCTCTCAAATAAATAAAATCTTTTTTTTTTAAAGATTTTATTTATTTATTTGCCAGAGAGAGAGCACAATGGCAGGCAGAGGGAGAGGGAGAAGCAGGCTCTCCGCTGAGCAGGGAGCTGGACGTGGGGCTCGATCCCAGGACCCTGGGATCATGACCTGAGCCAAAGGCAGCTGCTTAACGACTGAGCCACCCAGGCGCCCCTCAAATAAATAAAATCTTTAAAAAGTCAATAACACCAGCATGCTGTACTTAAGACCTAAATTGGAAGGATGGTGTGGGTTTGAATCCCAGCTCTGCTGCCCCCTGGCTCTTTGACCTTGGATGTGTCCTTTACCACCTCTGAGCCTCAGTTTTATCATCTGTAAAGGGAGGGAAACAACAGGACGACCTCATGGGGCTGTTGTCAAGTTCAAGTAGGCTAGTACAGTCAGAGCCCTTAGAGCGCATCTGGCACATGCAAAATACCCTAAGCATGTTAACCAGAAGTGCGTTTCCTAGACAAGCGAGGGGCCTTTGGGAAGCACAGGGCTGGTGTTGGTAAAGTACAGAGTTTCCGACTTAGGGCGGTGGGCAATAAATGGTAGCTGGTGCTATTGTTTTGATGATTTAACAGTGGTGGTGTTAGTAACAGTCCTGATGACAAAGTAGGAGGTAGCCTTTTTTTGTTTCGGAAATAGAATTTCTTGGGGCAGCAACTCTCAGGCAGCTTGACGATGGCGTCTGGCAAGATTCCAAGGTTCCAATCTGTGTGTTGACTTCCCTAGGCCAAGCCCAGCATTCGGTGCTTCATTAAGCCCACCGAGACGCTAGAGCGCTCCCTTGAGATGAACAAGCACAAGGGCAAGAGGCGGGTGCAGAAGAGACCCAACTACAAAAACGTTGGGGAGGAAGACGAGGAGGAGAAGGGGCCCGCCGAGGACGCCCAGGAAGACGCTGAGAAGACTAAAGGTACTGAGGGTGGTTCAAAAGGCATCAGGACGAGTGGGGAGAGTGAAGGTGAGTGCGCCCGTGAACGCCACCCTGGTGCCTGCGCCACGAGCCAGGCTGTCCCTTGTGTCTGGTCCCTGTTGTGTGTCCGTGGGTGCGTCTGTCCATTCCCGACGCCGGTGTACCTCACTCTGTGGGCCCAGCCCTTTGCAGGCAGCTGTGGGCAGGTCCACTGCAAGGCCTGCCCACATCGCAGGGGTGACCCGGAGCAGGCCTCTTTACTCGAAACCCCGTGCCTCGGTTTCCCCATCAGTAAACAGAGGCTAGCAGATGGTAGTTACTTTGTCATTACGAGAATGAAATGAGTTAGGACGTGTCCCATGCTCGGAGCAGTGCCTGGCCTGTGTCATAAGCATCTGCTGCCGTTCCTGCCCTCACCATGTTTATTGCAGTTCTATTAGTCCCCGTCACCTGCGATGCTGATTTTTGACACGAGTCATTATTTCCAGTGCACTGCAGGGAGAAAACCCGCGTTGAATGAGATTATATACCTTTAATACGATTATGTTTTAGATTCTTACATTAAGATTTGTCCGAAGTCCTTAGAGTGAGGTACACCAGGGTTTGGTGCACATGTGCTCAAAAAGCAGAATCATTCATTCCTCTTTTTGGTTTGTGTTGGGGATGATTCTGGTTTAATTTCCACCTTCCTCTGGCTTAGATGCTAATACCTTCTCGATCTGGAGAGCAGTGTCTGCTCTGGAATTAGGCAAGCTTCAGCTGTGCAGGCTCTTGTTTTGGAGCTGGGTGCACAGCCACACAGATGGGGTGTCTGGCCACGGCCCCAGGCACGTGGGGTGGAGCAGGGGATGAGGTAGAAGTGGGGTGGGGGCTCTGCTTGCTGGGCCTGAGCTCCCACCACAGCTTGCAGGACAGACTCGGGCTGTCCTCAGCTCCCGCTGTGGGCTGTCCTCCTGGGTGCGGGCTGGTAGTGAATCCTCCAAGGCCGGCAGCGGTTGCTGGCCCGTTGGTCTGGACTGTGTGAGTCCCTGGTCCGGGGGCTCTGAAGCTGGGAAATCGAGTAGCTCCATAAATCAGTGACCGGGAACTCCTTTGTTTTGGGGAGTTTGCTGCGATTATGGAGCCAAAACCCGCCCCGTCCCCACCCTGCTGGCCCCATTCTGATTTTCTTGGCAGGTCTCAGGGGAATGCCACAGTCCCATTTCGATAAGTATAACCAAAGCATTTCTCTGGTGCCACCCGGCCCTCTTTTTAAGGCTGAGATCCCCAGCAGGCTTTTATTTCTGTTTAAAGTGCACAGGAAGCATTTTGACATAGGAATTCCTGTTTGGCTCAGGACACGGATGCCAGCAAGTATGACTTTGGTGGGGAGGTGAGGGGCAAATGCAAGGTAAGCAAGACATCTTAGTTGGCTTATTTGCCTCTTTTTTCTTTTTTCTTTTTTTAAACACAGGAGAAAACTGCATAAACCCTGGGGTTTAGTTGTCCTGTGGCCACACTGGGGAGAAAGGAGGATTTCACCCCATTTTGAACGCTGTGTTCTTGTCGATTTTGTTTTGGAAAGATGCTACCTCTTTCATTCCAATCCTTTTAAGGGCTGCTCTTGAACTAGGCCTGGCCATGACTAACCCTGGTGTGGACAGGGCAGGCTTGGCCGCAATCACACAGTGAAGTGAGTCAGCCCGGTGGCCCGGTTCTGGCGTGTGGGGCTTCTGTGCCTCAGCCAGGCTGCCGTTCAGTTCGCTGTTGGGATTGGGGTGATTACTCCCCAGATGCCAAGGCTGCCTGTCCTGTGCCGGGGGCAAGGGGAGAAACGTGCACCAGCCTCCAAAAACCTGTGTTCTGGGTGCTCCCTCAGCCAGGTTGTACCAGACAGGGCCCCGGGATCTCCCCCGGAGGTTTTGCTTGGACCTTTGATGCTGATGTTAGAGCTTAGTTGAACATGACTCTCAGCAACCCCCTTTGACATTTTGGTGCTCTCCTGTTTTCTTGAACACACGGTAGTCATTCCAAAATATCATGGACCTGTCATCTTCTCACCCGGCTGAACCTAAATAAATACAGCTCTCACAGTCCTGACCAGCAAAGAGACACCTAACTGGGCAGCGGTAGCTTTCAGGTGGATGGGGCTTTGTGAATGGTGTATTTGATCTCTTGGTTGTTCTCAGATTTAAGGTGCGGTTGGTGGGTGTTCTCTCCTTAGACTGTGTTTGGGTGAAACCAGGCAGCTGTTAGCTCCCATGACTTGGAAGGGTGTCAGGCCACAGTGTCAATGTGGGAGGAGCTAAGAGATGGGATACTGGCCTTGCAGTCATGTCTGGGTTTATTGTGAGCCTTGAGTGGTCTCCCCAAGCTCTGTACCTCAGTTTCCTTGTCTGGAAATTGAGCATAAAAAATGTAATTCATGTGGTGCTTTTTTTTTTGTTTTTTTGTGGGTTTTTTTTAAGATTTTTATTTATTTATTCATGAGAGACAGAGAGAGAGAGAGAGAGAGAGAGGCAGAGGGAGAAGCAGGTTCCCAAGGAGCAGGGAGCCCGATGCGGGACTCGATCCCAGGACTCTGGGATCATGACCTGAGCCGAAGGCAGACGCTTAACCATCTGAGCCACCCAGGTGCCCTTTTTTTTGTTTTTTTAATGAATATATGTTAGGATTCTTGTGGTCATGAGTTAGAAAATCTACTCAGACTGGCTTCAGAAGGGTGATTATTGTTCACGTCGCTGAAAGGCTTGGGCAGGGACGGCCCCGGGTGTAGATGACCATCGGCAGCGCCAGGCTCGCATCCTGCCAGCTTACCACCAAGTGGAGAAGGAGCTGCTTCTTCCCATCAGCTGCAGCTCGAGTCTGGGGGCCGATGCTCTGTGACACTGATGGGCCTGGCTCGCCCACTGCTGTAAGAGGGGTGTCCTGTGCCGACTGGCCAGGCCTGGGTCACTTGTTGATATTATGATGATGATTCCCTCAGTAAAAAAAAAAAACAGGGTGTGTTCATCAGAAGAAGGGGGCATGGATTCTGAGCCAGCAGAAGCAGCAGATGCTCCCCGAGAAAGCTGCACTCTTTCTGTATGTCCCTCATCCCCCCTCAGGGCTGTGTGCTCCCTTGCTCTTTGGAGGTGGCTGTGTTGCTCTTCTCCCCTCCAGATTATTTTTTCTCTAGCGGGCTTCTTGCCCTGTCCCTGGATCTAGAGGCTTGTCGACATCCTGCTTATAACAAACAGGCACAGGTGACTGTTTGTTGAGTGAAGAGATGCTGGCACCGACTCCCCCCTGCAAACCCCACCATCCCCACACTAGTGGGGAAGTCTTGCCTCAACCAGGTGGCAGAAAACACAGGCATAAAAAGGCATGTGGCCACAAGTCACAATTTTGCCATGACCTGATTTAAATGTGGCATTAACATGTTCTTTTTCTACAAATGCAACCAGAATTCACACCTCCTCCACATTTAAGCCCAGACAAGGAAGTAGTGTGAAATGAATGTGTACCTCTGGACCCTCCACTCGACTTCAGGTCCCAACTGATGAGTGACTCATTCTGAAACCGAGAAAATCACAGGGCCCCTAAATTTGCAGAAATTGCACACTAAAAGGAAAAAGAAGGGTACCCTAGTGCCCGTGGCCAAGGAAGTGTTCACTCGACACATGTCCCTCTGAAAGGACAGTTGTCTCTTTTTGGAGTCACTCGGAGCAGTAACTTAATAAACAGACCTAGACAAAAGAATGAATTGTTTGCACTTCTCATTTGAAAAAATAGGGTTTAGTTTTTGGTTTTTGCCTATGGAAAAAGTAGGCACCGATTTCATGTCCTCTGATTGAAAACCTGCTCTTTGCTTGAATCCCTTCAAGGGCACGGAGAGAAGAGGACAACACTGACGTTGAGCCTGCCAGGTCAGCTGGGGGTTAAGGGGTGCCCAGAAGTTGGGAACCCCAGCTTTGCCTTTTTTTTTTTTTTAAGTCCCCATTGAAATGAAATGGAACCCTGGCGTCATTTCTGGCACTTCTTGCAAAGCCAGAGCCAACCCCACGGCTGGCAGAGTTTCCTGATTGGGACGAGCTGTGGATTAGCCATTGGGAGGTTGGGATCTGAATCCTAGACCCTGGAGGGGCTGCTCCTGAGCAGCTCTGTGACCCTGGGCTAGTCATTGCTTCTCCACCGATGGGGGGGGCTTCACGATGCCCAGCCCTCCGGTTGTCAGAAATGAGAACATTACTGTCTCAGCACTCAACCATGTGACCCACGAGCGCTGAAAAGGCAGCCTGGCCAAGGCGGAGAGCAGAGTGAGGAGCTTGGAAGGGGCGTGTGTGCTTGGGCACCCCTCCCCCTACCCCCTATTGTGAGTTTCTGTGAAGCCTGGTTCTCTGTTCATTTGTATAACGAATTAGTGAGGTGGGTGAGTGGGTGAGCATGTGTGTGTGGTGGGGGGACGGCAGGAAGGGAGGGAGGAGAAGGGTTAGGAGGCTGGCCCACCGTTTTAGAGACGTGGGAGTGCCACCTTTTCAAATGGGCTTAACTAGTATAAGGAACTTCCCAGAAAAAAACATTCTAAATTCAATCTCGTGCTGTTCGGTCAAGGAAAACAGCAAAACAAAGAAAGAGGCTCCCCCAAATCCTCAGCTCATACACACCCTGTTGTTGCCAGGTGCTCTTTGCCTCTTGAAATTCTGCTCCAGAGCCAGCCAATAGCATGCAGTCCTTCCCTTATTTCCTAGGTAACCAGCAAGGGCATCTTTCTCCTCTTTCCCTGAACGTTCTCGTTAGGGCCTTCTTATTCTCCCCTTCCCCCTTTTTATTGTCTGTCCTCATTTTGATTCCTGGAATGTAGAATACCGAGGGCAACTCAGAAAATCCTTGAATTTGTGAAGTCAAAGACTGTTGGGAGGTCATGCCTGCCATTTCCCTGAAAAGCACTTCATTTACCAAATATTAATCAGATTAGAATGTGCATCATCCTGGGCAAGTTGATGGATTATTACTGTTATTTAAAAAAATCAGTGTGTCAGAGCATCAGGGAAGCTCCCGGATCTGGCCAGAGTTGTCATTTGGAGGGG